GCAATGTTTGCTATTTCGAGAAATACATGTTTGAAGTTTAGAAATAACATGGATCCTCCTGGCGGAAAAGAGTTCAAACTGACTTTTAGCCCCTTACTTGATGTTATTTGGTTTCGTTTATTGAAAATTGTAGGAAATTTTAAACACTCTTTAAATCACCCGTTAAACGCTGTGAATCAGTGGATGAAGATATTATAGAAACTCTCAACCAGTAAGAATTGCTCAATTTATTGCGGGCTTTCTTTCTAAAAAAAAACTCTTTCTTTATATGTTGCATCATGACCAGTCCACACAAATTTAGCCTGCTAATTCGTTAAAAAACGCCTACCTTATCACTTGGCAGTCCTATTTCACCTAGTTGGAGTTTGGGCACCTTAAAAAAAAGGGAGGGGACTGTAAGTAACGTTTCAGATCGACGCACACATGACATACACGTTGACTGTATCACCTTCGTTTGATAAGAGTTGTAACATACTCATCTGCAAAAATAAGAAATTACATCAAGACTAAATTTGCCATAAACAAGTAGGAGGGTGACTTTTTTGTGGGTGTTCCCCTTAAAACTCTAAGGAATTTCACTTTCTTAAGCATTCTCTGAACGAAGAAACTTCATTTTTGAAAAACGTCTGGTTTCCATTGCAGTGGTTGGTTGGTTAGTTAGTTAGTTTAGAATTATTATTACGTAGGTATAGAAGTAGAATTCGAATTCTAGAAAACATTACTTAAATTACTATTGCACTCAATTTCATGTAAACAAGTCGCAGGTGCTTGAATATTAATTAATTTTCACATTAAAAATTGTATTCATTTCAAATTTTTCCTTTCCATTATTGAAAACTTCTACTTAAGACGAACTACATCAATTCTTTATCTAATTATTTATCCAGTTACTTACTTAATTATTCGCAAATTATGTAGAGGTAAAAATTTTAAGGAACAATTAAAACTATATTACTATGCAGAGTGAAATGTATAGAACAAAACCAAAAAAAAACTCACAACATTATATAAGATTCTAAGTCCAACTTGAGTGTCAAACTCCTCAAGGATGGTCTGAAATTGAAGTAAAAGACCGAAGAACATCGTAGCGTGACATCTGCCTGAATCATGTGAACAACCTAGTACTTAACCATAGACCATACCTAGAATAAGAGGATGGAAAATTGTATAAATTTCATGAATAT